GCCCCCGCAGCATCTTTGATGCTGCGTAGCCTATAGAAGAAGAAGAGAGCCGACCTGTGACGCACGGACCTTTCTTGGGCTTGGGGGTGCACCCCGGCTCCCCTGCAAAGGGGGGGCAGAGCCCGAAGAAGAAGAAGAAGAAGAGAGCAGTGCCCCAGGAGGGGGTAAGGCAGTGAGAAGAAGAAGAGAGTGCGAGAGCACGGGTCAAATTAAACGTGTTTTTTACACCATTTATTTGTGGAACTGGTTGCTACTAACGGCCAACGCTCTCCCCAGGAACCCTAGACCAAAAATCTGCTGGGTATAAGGGAAACGTGATTGCAGCTTACATCCGTTCTGATCGTGGTTCCTTTCAGGGAACCCAGAGTCTCACAAACCAACTTGAAACAAACCCGTCCGGCGTCCGGGGGCCACATGGCCTGCCGGCCATGTTGCACGTGATGTTGCGAGTTGTGTTGTCCTCGCATGTTTCGGGTGGTTAGTGCGCCAACGCGCAACGGCCGCGAAGCGGATTCATTTTGGTGGCAGCCTTTGAATGCAGTGACTCGCAGAGGCAAGGGAAGTCGTCTGTTCCACTGATGGTTGCCTTATGGTGCACGGCATGACCACTGGTTATCAACTTTTCAGGCAGCCTCGGGCATTGCGGATCAATCAAGTGTGTGAGCCGGGTTACAGGTTGCTAAGCGCTGAAGCAGTGCGCGTGCCTGTTTTCGCACCTGGACAGACCCGCAAACACCAGCTTGCAGCATTGAGGCGGTGCCCTGCAAGGGCGGTCCTGACCTTTGACAGACGCTTTCCGGCTGAGAGCACAGCTTCGGCGCTGCCTTCGAGTAGCGCATATCCAGAAGAAGCAGAAGAAGCAGAAGAAGAAAAGCTAGAGGGCCCGAGGCAGAGCTTCCAATGTTGAAGATTGGTCTCTTGTGGTTCTACTTGCTACCTCTGGCAGCTAGCAGCATCTCTTGCGGGGCAGTAGCTGTGAGCCCACGGAAACGAACATGACCCAAAAGCTATTGCAAATCGAAGTGCTTACTGAATGCTCCTCAGCATACCTGACGGATCACTTGGTGTCTTCCGAGGCATATGCAACTGGTGACCACTCGAATCCGTGCTTGACCGGCAAATCGCATGAGTGTCCGGAACGTGGACTTGAGACGCTTTGGTGGAATTGGAATGAGCGTCCTGCTGGACACCTCTGGCAGATGGTGGAAGGGATGATCTGGGATCATCGCAACGACCAAAGCTTCCGTAAGAGTGTTCTGGATCTTGTCATGGATGAAGTGGTGCGCCTTCAATCAAAGGCCATGACCCCTCAATTCCCAGTAGCTCAGACCTACCAATGATGTTGGTGTGTCCATGCAGCTGTTGCGGGCACGCAGCTCCCCCTCTTAAAGAGTGGAGTTTGTGGCTTCGTGCCGGCAATATTGGATGCCTCTCACCTGCTCTTGGCTTAGTTTGATTTAGCTTGTTAGTGTGGCCTTGCGGAAAGTAAGGCTCAGGCGGGGTTTGGCAAGCATTCCCCATCGGTGGACGCAGGGATCAAAGAGATCCCGTGCTCGAATGGCCTATCATTTGCAGCCAAAAGAAAGAGCATGGTTTCCCTGCCGGCTAAGCTGAGGTGAATTCTAGTTCAGAGAGTCCCCAACCGCAGTGCAAGTTTCAGAATCTTCCAGAGGGGTCTTAGCCGCTACTGGATGCAGCTCCTGACTTTCGGGGCGAGCTGTCGTGTTGAAGGCTCAAATTTGCAACTGCATTTGCAAGCGCATCGCTAGCCAGGAGAACTTGACCATGAGAACATCTTAGTGACCAGTGATCACACGCAGTTTGCTTACACATAGGCAATTCCACTCGCAAATAATGATGTCATGAAGCGCGCCGGCCATGGCGGTTGCAGGTCTATGGGAAGTGGTGGGAGGCGGAGACGTCGGCACTTTGAAAGCATATTTTCCTGCCAGAGTTGAGGCATAGCTTTTGTACAGTTCTATGGCATCCAAGGTGGTATCATTGTACGTCAGGGGCCAGAACTCAGCTCACCACAGTGTGATGCGCGCCTCTCCACTGGTGCCCTGGTGGAGGAGGGAGATGTGACTACGTTGTGGCAGTTTTGGAACCTCTAAACTCTGAACCTCCACAACTCCTTGTCATTGGCATGAGGCATTCATGTGACTTCATCCTTGCCACGGCACTACAAGGCATGCCGCCATAATGGGTAAGCGATCCTGTTTGTTCAGGAGCTCGAGGTACAAGGTGAGAGGCTCTACTATCGACGTCTTCAAGGTGAAGGCCCATCCAACCCACGGAGCAGTGGCAGAATTGTTAGAATATGTGTGAGTCAAACTGGTCGGGTACCAAAAGGCCCGGAATGTGGCTGGGCGACCTGGGCTTCAAATTTGGTGCACAGCATCTCTTCTCACGTCTATCGCTGTTTGGCGCCTGCGTGCTAAGGTAACTGTTCGCCTCGGTCAGAAGGCTGGACCACGCCAGTCTTCTAGGAGTTCACAATGAAAAAGATGTCAAGACATCACTGATCTGCAAGGACCTCCTCCGAAAACACAGCGGCAACAAAACTGATTCTTCAGAGAATCCCTCGTCAGAACGCTGCGCGAAAGAGAAGCCCCAAGGAGGCTTCCAACAAAAGATTGCTACTGGACTCACGGCAGAGTTTTAGCTTACCCCGCAGCTTCGCAACATCATCGCATGGTGGCCAGCGTTGTGGCCTAGGAAAGAAGGTGCGCATCCTTGCTTTGAAGCGAGAAGACTATCAGAAGTACAACGGCAAGAACGGCGCCATCATGGGCTTTGATCCTGCGAGCGGCCGTTATTCTGTGCAGCCTGGACTGGGGGTTTAGGGTTTAGGGT